TTTCAGTACGAAACATATTACTTAATATATTTATACCAGCCAGAAAGAAATTGCAAGTTTTCACTGAGCAATTAGAAATATACATGGACAACAATTGATACATGTCTAGCAATATACTGTTTGAAAGGCTGCAAGATGTAATGAAATAGCAAACCAATCACTACTCGAGTCAGACTGGCTGGGAAACTGCACAATACCCCCCCCCCCCCCCCCGGTACATACAAAAATGTATGCAAATGATATATGAGCAGCTCCACCAAATATAAAAATATTCTTTCCATAGTTATGACTCTAATGTGAATGTGATTTTCCACTCCTTAGCAATAGTAGTTAGAGTATTGTATTGTACTGTATCGTACAAGTTTATTGTGATTCTATATGTGTTTGTAATATTAGTTAGCTTTATTAAGCATTCTGTTTAGTTGGTTAACTTTAGTGTATCTTAATGTAGTTTATTTTATTTTTATACAAACATAGAACAACTCACTATAGTTTGTTTTTAATGTTGAATAAAAATTAAATCAGTCACTATATAGCGGTGACGTATTGCGCGAAATTGTTGCAAGGACAATACTTGTCTCGATTTGCGTGTCATCGTGCGTCGATAAAAAATGCATGTGTCGATTAAGTTCGTCTAGTGTGACATTCGTGGCTGGCGACAAGATGCCGTATAATCGTTTAAATAGGCGTCAAGAAGGAGTGAAAGGCCCTAATTTGGTTCTACGTCATGAAATGTTGGAAAATTACAGTCAATCAAAAAAACTGTTCACATGACAACAAAAAATATTCACTATATTTATTATGCATTATTTTTTGTTGGTATCAAATGATCATGGTACGGTAGCTTACTTGTTTTCGAAGTGTTGTAATTGCTGATTAGTACTCAGTAGTGATTATATTAACGTACAAAAAATAAATTCGTTGAATTGTTATGAAATGCAAGTAAAATTCAACTTAGTTTTATCGTAAGCAAATGTTTTCAGTTACATGTTAACGCTCGATGAGACGATATCCGCCATGTTATCCATGCCCACGACG